AGAAGAAGAAGAAGAAGAAGAAGAAGAAGAAGAAGAAGAAGAAGAAGAAGAAGAAGAAGAAGAAGAAGAAGAAGAAGAAGAAGAAGAAGAAGAAGAAGAAGAAGAAGAAGAAGAAGAAGAAACTCGGTCTTCTGAAGGCTGTTAATAATTATCTTCATATTTTTCTGTTCTTGTTTTCTCTTTTCTTTTCTTTTTAATTGCTAGTTTGTTATAAGTATTGCCATGTGGGGTCTGCAAGGTCTGTAAGTTTTAACTTGTAAACGCTACGCACTACTCTGGGATGGCAAGTAAGCAAGTAAATAAATAAATAAAAGTTTTCTCCAAATATATTTTTTAAAATGGTCAATAATACTGAGGTAGTTTAAAAGAAGATAATTGAACCCAGTTTAGCATGTTTTTTAAACCTTTACTTTTGAAAAAAACCACCCATGCTGAACTAGGTTAAATTATCTTCTTTTAAATTACCTCAGTAATATTACCTATTTAACAAAGAAATGTGTACAGTAATGGGAAAATACATTTTTACAAGTTTTATATATTATCATCCAAGGCAATTAATGTAAACAAAAACAAAAAAACCCCAGCATACCATTTCATTAGTACCTACTAGTTTCAACAGATGGTAGCATCCTTATTTATCATTTTGCTGTGTTTGTGAGTTTTTTATGAATCAAAGACAGCAGAATCCTGCTTGAAATATCAAAACCAGGCATAAGAAAGGTGACTGCATTCTTCAAATCACAGCACAGAAGATCACACGATTAATATTTTTTGCTTTTTCACTGTTTCACTATTTTCTCTTGACTCTTTTCCATCAGATGCTGCTATTCCCTAAAGTTTCAGGGCCCATACCTCAGGCTTTTCCTTGTGATGTCCAAGAGGTGGGGCAGACAAAGGGTGGGGCAGGCAAGGTTTGAGAGGGAAGCAAGCATAACACCCATGCGCTGAGCCCCTGAGCATTGAGGTGGGAATTTGTGGAAGTGTCTGTACAGCCACCTCACACTCAAAAAACAAACTTCCTCTTCCTCC